ATCGCCAAAAGCAGTTTGAAGCCGAGCGAAGCTCCGCTGGGCTGTTACATTACACTTAAAGTCGTAGAAAATCATACTACGAAAATTTTCACGAGTTCGGTTTCGACTTGGACGAATTTATGAAACAAACATTTTTAAGTTGGTTCTGGTCTGGGTATACAAGGTATTGACTTCAGAGTTGTCGTTGTTCTAGTACGTATAGTACAGGAATTTCCCTAGTTTGAGACCAGAATTTCGGACATTATGATTATGATATTTTTTTTTCCCTAAAATGCTTCTAACCCATCTGGCGTAGCCTCCGAGAAAAAGGAATCTAACAGAGGGACTATATAAAATTGTCTTGTATGGCCGCCATCTTATATAGCGGGATCAAAATTTCACCCGCAGAGCCGTATTGTGGACCTCCCGTGCACGGTCGGATGATGAATTTCGGCCAGAGCGGAGAAAAATGTTTTCTCAAATTCGAAAAACGAGATTTCGTTAGAAATGTCAAAAAGTATCAAAAAATACTACATTTTTCCACATGGCAACACTTCTTAAGGAAACAAAAAAATATTCCCCTGTTTTTATTTAGCCGAAAAATGTTGCAAATTGCGTAAAATAAGACAGCAATTGTTCAAAAATTGCAATTTTCTCACAACATGGCCGCTAACTCAGCTGCTATCTTGAATTAAAAAAAGAGGTGGTGACCGAAAATGTTATCAATTTAGTCGAGCATACAAAACAGTTTTTAGTTTTTTCCTAGTAGCAATACAGCCTGCGCCCAAAAACAAAAAAAATGGGCAAAAATGTTGAGCTCCCGTAGCGGCTAGGGTGCTAGGTGGCTATTACGAAAATGGTCAAATTAATTTCGGGGAGCGTCTACCACCATTCGAAATCTAATTTGACTTTCCAAAATGACTCCTATTTATCATGTTATTGGGGTAAAAATGAAAATTACCCTGAAATCGGGTAAAATTCCACAACCTAACAAAATGATCCCAAAGGTACACGATCGGTTTTTACACATGTCATGGAGCTCCGGCATTGCCATCTTTTTCAAAATTTAGTTTGAAAATTACGCTGAAATCGGGTAAAATTCCACAACCTAACATAAAAGATCCCAAAGACCCACGATCAGTCCAATACATGTCATGGAGCTCCGGTATTGCCATCTGTTTCAAAATTGAGTTTGTAAATTTCGAAAAAGTGAAAAAATATAAAATGGCCGCCATCTTGAAATCTCCAAGTTTCATAATATTAACGCAGAACCTCATTTCCAATTTTTCTGATGGCCACCCAGGTTCTCAAACATTCTGAATATTGCAGCGACGGGAACGTAAAATTTAAAAAAATTATTAAATCGCTGCCAATGGAAACACACGCAAGTGACCGAAAAAATCGGAGTTTGTCAGTGGTATTGTACTGTGGGGTCGTGTTCAGCCAGCGGCGCGTTTAAACAGCGGGGTGTGTTCTTCTTATGTTCTTCGGTCGTACAGCGATTAGTACTTGATGCAGCAGCAATAGTAGTAGCGCTTGATGGAGATCCGTGTTCGATTCCCTATTTGGGCCAATTTAGGAAACGAACATTTCTATGTTGGTTCTGTCTAGGTGTTCTGGGTATTGCCCTCAGAGTTATCGTTATTCTGGTACTCGTAGTACAGGAAATTCCCTAATTTGGAAACAAAATGAGTGTGATTGGCATTATTATTTTTTTCCTAAAATATTTCTGTTTGGCATAATTTCCAAGAAAAAGGAATCTAATAGAAAGACGGTCGAGATACAACTACGCTATAAGTATCTCGTTTCTACTACATCGGGAAGTATGACGCACATTTTTAACAATTAAGAGATCTTGAAATAGAGCCTCCATATACTACGTACGGTGGCGGGCGGACGCATAGGGACTCGCCCTCCGCTGGACCTGGCCTGCGGTCTCGGCACTTAGACTTTTTAAAAAAAAATGAAAATAGATCTAAATTTTTGCGCCTTTGAAGATTGAAGATATGCCGATTTTCAGCCCGATTAGATTATTTTTCTGCTACCATAAAATATTTGCATGGCAGCCGTAATGGAAAACGACGAACAAAATGTTGATCGCAAATTATTCATGATCAGAGATGCCGCCAGCAACTGTTTGTAAGGCGATCATATTGAAAAATTGTGAAAAACTGATGATGATTACAAGTTATTATCAGGTACCCCTAGAGGCCTCCGCATTCGAATTTTCAGCTGAAATAGCAAGTCTTTTTCTGCAGCCATTGTTAACGAAAAAACGCTTATATGGCAGCCATATATAAAATGACGAAAAACACTTTTGGCCTCAAATTATGGTAAAGGACTACTAAAGACCTCCAAATGCTTGCATGCCAATTTTCAGCCGGATCGAAGCAAGATTTTCTTCGACCGCCATTTTGAATTCGCAATCTTGAATTTTTTTGACACAGGCTGTTGACCACTGTTACCCTCTATGACATTCCTTCCAGTACCTATCTCCAATAATTTCCGTGATAGAAGACTTTGAAATTTGTATAGCGGCCATCATGTTTATTTGAATTTCGAACATTTTTTACTTCCAATGGAAATTGTTTAGGGTGTACCTCATAAAATGCACAAATATCCCCTCCATATAATATATTATAAGTGAGGAGCACTATATGTTTCCGGAATGAATAAGAAAAAAATACTATAAATGGTCAGAAATGAATTTATTCTTTTTCAAAATATTCTCTGTTAGTTTTAAATGCACTTTTTCATACGAATGAACCAGTTTTGAAAACATTTATGCCACTCCTCCGTGACAATCTCTGAATCATATTTTTCATACTCTTCGACAACTGCTTCAGGTGATGAAAATCGTTGACCGTGTAACCGGTTCTTAATTTTTGGAAATAAATAAAAGTCACACGGTGCCAGGTCGGGACTGTACGCGGGATGGCTCATAAGGTCAACGTTGTTCACATTCAAAAATGTATTTGTCTGTCTGGCCGTGTGAGAACCGGCATTATCGTGGTTCAAGATGATACGGCGTTTACGGTTATTTTTACGGAGTTTGTCAATAACTTCCGAGAAACAAATGGTCGTGTACCAATCAATTCACGGTACAACGATTCTCCAAAGCAACATTAGCCACGTGTCCAGTTTTATTAAAAAAAAAAGAAGAAATCGTCCGCTTAGAGTCCGCGCACTTTGCTCGCGCGCCACTTTTGTTGGTTTCGGCTCATCTCGAAAGACCCATACGCTCGATTGCTGCTTTGTTTTGGGATCGTACCTATAAATCCATGTTTCGTCACCAGTTACCATGTCCCACACCAAATTTGACGCCCCATCGTTGAATGTGGTAAGCATGGCATTGCACCAAGTGACGCGATCCATTTTTTGAGCCTCAGTCAAATTGTGTGGGATCCACCGAGAGCACAGCTTTTCACACCCAAATGTTTGTGAAGCATGGATTGTATTTGACTTATGCCTATGCCTAAAGATGCCCGAATCTCATGGTATGTCACATGCCTGTCTGTTTTGATCATACGGCGCACAGCATCGATTTTTTTGTTGTTCACAGCAGTGGACGGGCGAGCCATCACGAAATTCGTCACTGAGATTCACACGACTGCGATTGAATTCTACAAACCATTTTTAAATTGTCGTCTTGTATGGTGCTTCATCGCCAAAAGCAGTTTGAAGCCGAGCGAAGCTCCGCTGGGCTGTTAAAATACACTTAAAGTCGTAGAAAATCATACTACGAAAATTTTCACGAGTTAAATCCATGGTGTCGTAGACAACCAATTTCTAAAATAACGCCACAATGTAAAAACAAGTGACAGCCAGATGAAACAGACTGTATTCTACAGCCAAAGAGTTCCATTTTCAAATGTTGTAATTACTTTTTAAATATTGTTTATGTAAGTGGCCAGTTCCGGAAACTTATAGTGCGCTCTATGTAGTTTTTGCAGGCCGTTGATCACTCTTTTATATTTTCCACATTTAGGTGATCTCGTATTTTTCCCTTTGCTGGTACCTATCTGCATACAACTATGTAATAGTATTTTATGCAATCGTTGCGTAATGAGGGTTCTTAATGGAGAGTACCGTGTTTAGGCCATGAGAGTTTGCCTAGTGGCCTGGGTAATAGGTACGACATTGTAAGACCTAATTATGTAATGATTGCATACAATACTTTTTCTACAAGTAAATAAAATAATGAAGCAGAACCAATAGTTAATGTATATTTTGTAAACAATCCATGACAACGCAATTTTTTTAAATAATTTTTTACCCACTTATTAGGGTAGGTAAAGGTTCCACCATACAGCCTCTTTATATATTTAGACGAAAGCAAAAGATACGCTACAAAACAAAAAACCAAAGAGATAAAATAGAACTGGACCGCAAATATTTTAACTTCCATTCTTTAAGATTTTAAACTTAGAGGATGGAAAAATTGTTTCCATAGTCGAAGATTAAAACCAGTAATTTAAAAAAAATCTAATTTATGGCCTGGTTGCAAGATTTTTTAGGTCAATTTAACCAGTTAGGAGGCGGTATAGCGTTTGAGTATCGTCCTTATTGATACTTTAATTAGCAAACACACTACTGTCTTTTTTGAAACTCATTATAGTTCAGTATATAACACTCATTATAGTTCTGTGTACAGAACTTTAATGAAAATTTTCAGCTGAGTGGCGAGTACCATAGACAAAAGAATTATGATCAGAACTGAAAAGACCTATAATATAGAATATAAAATATAGAAATTATGATTGACAGATTGAATAAAGTACAGGAGTAGGAAACTATATATTTTTTCTACCGTATGCATTCTATTTCTATCAGTGAGTCATAACTTGTGGCTTTATATGCATGATAGATAATATATAATTACAACAATTCATTTTTATGCAGTTGGACGTAGTGGCATTCGCGAATATCGCTCAACTGCACTTCATTGACAAGGAAGTGACTCACCCCCTGCGAGATGCGATGAACGAGTCGTTCCCGAACCTGGTGGGACTGGTCTCTCGTATCAAGGAGCGCGCGTTCCACGATTGGGATGACATCTGCGCTACTCTGGACTTGAACGCGCATCTGCCAAAGCCGCCCAAGGAAACTAAGGAGTCTAAAGAGGGCACCGGGCCCGCCGAAAAACAACAGGTTCCCGAAGAGCCCGAGAAGGGAAAGGTGCGTATTTATCACAATAAAATTTATATGTCATACTGGCATTTTGATCACACGGTTGGTATTGCGATTTACAGGGTGACGAAAAGGAGAAGGAGCTCGAAAAGGAACCCGAGGAGAAAAAAGAGAAAGAGAACGAAAAGGAGAAGTAAGATGTGGAAACGGCATTCAAACCGACAGCATGCTACATACAAGTTAAGTTAACACTTAAGAGTCAGACTCGTAATAGATTCTGTACATTGTAAGCGTGTAAATCCATTTGTCTTTCCCGTTTCTTTCATTTGACGTGGATGCAAGCGTCATTATAATATAATTATTGTGCTTTATTTGCTATTATTGTCATATATAATATATATACATAGATAGATATCATCGATGTCGTTTCGTGTTTAATATGATATCGTTGTAACAAGTTTCCGAAGATACTGTAATATGTGTTAAATATTGTTTATATTGCGAATAAATTGTATTCAAATAAGTTTATGGCTTGGTATGGTTATAATTTTATTACACTTATTTCTATTTTTTATCCAATTCGAAAAGTGTAATCAAATATATACCAGAGTAAATTGGTTGTTAAGGTAATTAGATAAACGTATATTCAATGAAAGGATATAATATGATAGTAATACGTAAATTAAATATTAATAATCTCATTACTATAACGAGTCAAGAAAGAATTGGCATCTCATACTCAAAAATAGTAGTCTAGGGAGCATCTCATGACCATCGCAATCGACGTGCTTTTCATACAATAGTTTAAGTAGAGTAAGTTTTCGACATCGACACGATAAGAAGAAGATGTAGAATAAATAAGTTTTCCATGCGATAGAATAATGTTTGAAACGAAAAATACTCTGCTCATTAATTCATATGTTAGTAATTTGGAAATAGTTTTAATCATAACGTTTTACTACAAAAGTTGTGAGTAACCAACTTTTTCAGGTAAAGATCGATCATTTGGAACGTATTACATATTTGTCGAACGTTACACTCAAAGGTTTGAAGCAGAATATTAAGAGTTATGATTAGACTGTTTTGAGATTCTTGTACTTTATTGGTTTTTACAAAAAAAATTTACAATTTACAAATTTTAGATAAATGAAAAAGCCTGGAAGACTGTTTTTTCATGTTATTGTGTAATTCATAGTCCATAAACTTTTGAGATTGTATTAATTGTTAAGATTTAGGAACGAATGTACTCAAATTATATTGGTAGGTAATTCATTTGTAGGCATATGGAGGCGAGCGGTGCGGCGCCGACGTCTCCTTATTAGAAATATATGGGCGTGCGTTTGGCTACGCTACTCTAAATACTCAACGACTGTGTGCGTTCACGTCCATCTCTGATCTTATGTTATTGACTGATACTTGCACATTTTCACCGCACAAACCATTAACTATGTTATACTTTGAAGAAATACTCTTATATGAAGACTGTTTTAAGTGTTGACTGTTATCATTCACTCATTCCATAACTAAACATCGATTTTATTAAAAGCATAAATTTGTAAAATTTTATGTTTACTTTGCGATTCCTTGTTTGATTATTCACTGAAACAGGCTACGTGCCACATGTTTAGCTGTAGACTAAAAAATACATTTCAGTTACTTCGAGAAGCCGTGGTTCTGGTAGCTAACGATTACGTACATTTATCATGGCAGCTATTATTCAATTCACCGGGATGCATAGCGCGATCGTATTGTGACTCTGCACTTGCGAAGATAGCGTCATAAGTAGTTGAAGATTGCTAGAGAATAACGGCTATCCATAAATTTACGATTTGTCTCACCGTTTGTACGATTAAAATTAGTATAATATAAATGTAAGGTCTGAAGTTTTACATATTATGTCATTTTAATAGTAATCGTAAAGATCGAATTTTGATGTATACATTAGGTGTTAAGACATCTTAGAGGGCTATCGAAAGGAATTTCAGTCGACGCCGCTCGTAGATATGTTTAAAGTTTTAATGCAATTGATATAATAAATTTGATTTACCTTATGAACTTTAATTTTGATTTTCTGGGAAATGGTTGACGAAAGTCCCTCCCGCAACTGCTGACCATCACTGCCATTAGTCTCACGTGTAAGGATTACGAATAAGCGCGTAAATAGTTTAGGAGCGAGAGGGCACCCGAAGCGTGTGCTCTTTCGCCGGTGGCCGCTAGAAGCTAGAAGCCTGCGGTCGGCCGGAGGCACACGGATGTCGTTACAGTTTATAGGGGTAGTAAGGAGGCAGCTGCCACCTTGGCATCCGTCGCAATGTAGAGCCTGTTTCATGTGACGTAACATGTGATACGAACAGTCTGGTACAAAGTTGGCATTCACACTGATTATTGCGTCTGCACCAATAGCAAAACGCACAACAACATCAACTCTGGATACCCACCATCAAGCACATCTATTTTTGTGTGAGCATGGAGAGCATGATTGATAAGCTATAGGCTGTAACTATAAGGCTAGTTACATTTTAGAATAAGTGTAATGTATAATCCGAATGAGACAATAGAGAAAATGACTAGTTACATTATGTATTTCATATGCATTATTTTTAAAGTAGCCAGTCCAAGCTGTAGCAAAATTTTGTAATTGTTGAATAAAGTTTAGGGCTCGTGGATAATTAATTGTACGTAGATGCAAGTTTTTCTTTATTGTCTCCTTTAATATTCTAAGGATAAATTAAATGTATTTCATACAATGTATTGTGTAATCCAATAATATTAAACCATACCATTAAACCGTTCTCTTCAAGACATTCTGACTCAACTTGTATTGTCGTAAGTTAGCGCTATTATACAAATTAATCATAAACTACTTTAAAATAGCTTTAGATATTTCAACTGTGTTTATATTATTACTGTGTAGTATTAGTAAACAATTTTAAGGGACATTTTCTTTTGTAATCATACAACTCATTCATTCATCTAGATATTATAGTAAATGTGGTTTTCAATTATCGTGTCAATATTTTAACCTAAGTATAATTCGATTAGATAGTAATGGCTCGCCATAAATATACCGATTACTGAGCTTTCAGTGAACACAATGTTCTCGTAAGAATTTCAATGTAATAATCTGTCGCCATTAAAAATATATACCTGTCTAATAACTAAAAGGCTGTAATATATTTCTGCGTGAACTGTTACGCTTTATTGCAAAGCTGCTTCAGGTAGGAGTATAGTGCAGGATTTGTTTCATTTCACCTACATTCCTTCTTCTAACGGGTTTTTATATTATAAACATTTTAACAAATCATTGTAACAAACCTACAATTTAGGCTATCAGTGCAAATTCAATTGAAGCAATTCGTGTTTTATTGCTAAATTTGATGACTAGGTTTCTTTCGAACAGCGGTGCTGTGAGCGTGTCTTATTCCAGCGTGACCATGGTCGAGTTTTTGAAATTTGACTAGCCAGATAAAAATTAGCTATTTAGTCAGTTCTTGTCCCAAAAAACTAGATTTAGTTGGTCTGACGAAGTTATAAGGGTGTTTTACTGTCCACTCTGGAATAAGCTTATTCCAAAGGCACCATATCTCAATCTTGAGAACCACAACACCCAGCTTATGTCTGATTCTTATGTACTGTCTGATGCTTATGTACGAAAAAGTCTTGATTTAGTCTGTTCTACTCTTAAAAAACTCGATTTAGGCGTTACGCCGTTTTGAAGTTAAAAGCGTTTTACTATCCACCCTGCGTAAGCTTATTCCGGCTTCACCATTTTTGAATCTCGAGAACCACAGCTAGCTTAGGTTTGATTGCATCCAGAAAGTCATGAATTAGTCGGTTCTATTCGCGAAATTCTTTACCGTAGTATTACTAAACAGTTCCATTTATGGTACAGAGGCCACTCTTTATGCCACTGTTCCATTACCTTGACAGTTCCATGGCAAATGTTGTTTTTTGTTATCCGTAGTACATGCAGTAAGGAATTAATTGATAGGGACCAGAAACAAAAATCCCTTGGCAACCGCCAACCAGTAGGGCTAGCACGACGGGGCGACTTGCGCGAGAGAAAGGAAGAAAAAAGTTTATTCATTAAATTGAGTCGCTATACGCACTTAAATCTAGTACTTAACACTGAAACAACAAATGACTGCGTGATTTTAAATTAATAAGTGTGTATAGTGGCGCAAAAGAAGAAAAGGAAACGACTCAGCCATATGTCTATCTCGGGCGAGGCAGGCGCTGATTTTCAGTTGTTCCTGTTTCAGCGTCGGCTGAGACCTAAGGAAATGGTACATGCTCTGTGTATCCTCTGCTTTGTGCCACACTACACATTTAAAATACACGTGTGATACATGTATATACATACAAAGCTACAAGTAAATTTACATAAATATAGATAAGTTAGAAGACAAGAGTTAGGAATGTCCGGCATCAGAGCATACGCTGGTTTTCTATCAATAGATTTTTCATACTTTTTCTAAATGCGAATTTTAAGATTGGCTAAGTAGGGGAGGCAGATTATTCCAGCATTTAGATGCCTGATACCGGAAGCCACCCTCAAAGGCTCTTGTTGTATGGAATGGCGTTACCAATGAAAACTATAAACTCTGCATGACTCTGCGTGAATTATAGGAATAAGTCCGCCATTTTAACTTGGCACCTAGATAAGGTGGACTTTTGTATCTAACAACAGAGAGCATCAAAGTAGAAAAATGCAAAGTCCTTCTAGATTCCATATTAAGAATATCGTGTAGGTTTAGGAAAGGTGTTATGTGACTCCTCGATGGAGTTTTGTACCAGAAACGAATGCAGGCGTTTTGAACACGTATTAATTTTTTTGAGGTAGAGAGAAGACAGGGACCGAAAACGACATAAAGCGCGAGATCTCTATGCGGCAATAGCAATATCTCGCGCAAGTCGCGCCCTGTTGTGCTAGCCCTATAGTGCTTACATGAGTCGGTCTCACAAGAACCACTTTGTTCCATCCAGCCAATTTTACATTTAAAAAATGCAAGAAAATAGATAACTGCCAGTAAGAAATATACGAGAGAGGTATTTAAAATGTATATATTAATGTACTAGGTATAGTTTTGCGACTAGAACCGACTAATTCACAATTAGTTTGGGTGCAATCAGACCCAAGCTAGGGGCAGCGGATTTCTAGTCTCGAGATGAGCCGGAATGAGTTTATTCCAGCGTGGACAGTAAAACACCCTAATAACTTCAAAACGGCGTAACGACAAAATTTTAGTAGAACCGTCTAAATCACGACTTTTTTTAGTGTAATCATATCTAAGCTAGGTGTTGTGGTTTTCGAGATTGAGAAATGGTGCCGCTGAAATAAGCGTATTCCCCTTGTGACTTCGGCGAAATCTAGTTTTTTGCGATTCGAACCGATTAAATAGGACTTTTTGTTTTCTTTGTGTCAAAAATTCTACCATGGTTATGCTGGAATAAGTAACGCTCTCAGAAGTGACGCGAACGCAGGCGTAGGGTGACGATAAACGTCGACGAAATA